TTCCGCGACGTATCTACGCTTCCGTGTGCATTCATAAAATAAGGTAACTTTCGATTGCTACTCGCGAATCAGAGTAGAATTACCCGATTGTAATTACATACCAACCTCTGCCTTTTATGCTGGCTAGCGATCAAGAACACAAGTAAGATATTTCGGAAGAGATGTAGTTTTTAGCCACAGTATTAGACAGAAAATGTTTTTGTTTTACGTATAATTTCACGAATTGGTGGCTGTATCATCCGCACTATTTAGTTCTTCAGAAAAGTGAAGATAACCATGGGCTTATAGTGCAGGTATAACGAACAGATGAAACAGGAAAATAAAAAGTGCTTAAGAAACATCTTTATCAGGTACTCGCAATGTATTCAGCGGTACATAAGATGATAACGCGCTCGACCAATCAATTTGTGTCCTTTCACCATTAACCACTTTCAATCGCGATAGAAAGTGCGCGATAAGTACAATAAATACGCGCTAATGCTCCTCTTACGCTCGCATTTTTTTTTGCAGTAAGTGGACTTTTCTTTTTTTGTGATTAGTCACAAGCTGAGGACGAAAAATTGATGCACATATTTTAGCCTCGGTGCAAAAGTACCTCCCAATGTGGCGGTGTCATGCTAACTTCAACGGTGCAAGCACGTCGGTCGAATGCAAACTGCAAGTAGAGAATTTGCACAGACGTGCGAATGAAGTCAACTCTACAAACTGCGAAAACTGGAGCTTGCTTCTTCGCTACTCGCAAACTAGGTGCCATGTTAAAACCATGGACAGCCGAATGATGTAAACAGATGAAAGAAGTATATAAGCACACACACCTTGAACCTGGGCTTAGGCTGGAGCTTCGAGCAGAACGCGCGTTACAAGGGCCATCGGTCTTTCCAGTACACCACGCAAAAAATAAGACAAAATGACGCACCAAGCAGCAGGCTCCTTTTTGACGTGAAAAAAAAAAAAAACCCCGCACAAAGGTCGAAGAAACACAAAGAAATATGTTGGCAATGCATGCACCGGCTCCTTCGACTGTCTCTCTTTCTCTCTGGCACAGCAGCGGCGGCCTCCTTTCCACTCCCTCGTGGAGGACTAGCGTCAAACGGGTGCGAGAGAGAGTGACGTGTCACATGACGTGTGGCATCCAACCGAAGCGCACTGAAAGCTTCTCTCCCTTTCTGTCTCTCACCCCTTCTCTTTCCGCTCGCTAAATATTGACGAAGCCCCCATCTTTTGCGTTTGATGGCAACGACTAGTCAAATAGATGAAAAGATGGTTGTCAAAAGACGGCCTGTTTTTAAAGTGCAGCTACGGAGCCCCTCCACCACTCCAGAAGTTTGAGTATAACCTATTTGGCTAATGAATAGTGTTCTGCAAGGTACCTAACGAGAGGCACTCACTATTCGAGCTTCAGAGCGAAAAGTGTGGCGGAAGTCACGTGCTTTGTCAAGGAGGTTATGGGACAAGGTAGGCACGCTGGCGTTTCGTGTCGTCGGCATCCCCAGTCGCATGACCGCGTTCTTGATAGTCTGCTGGAATTCTGAATGGGCATTTTTATGCTGCTGTTGCACTTCACAGGTGATGCAATGCGTTAGAAACCTACAGTGGGCGTTGGTCTTCACGACTAAGAGTTTAGTTCATATTGTTTGAGGGCGAAAGCGGTCGTTGATTCTTTCCTTTGGGCTCCCTCTCGCTGGCGCCCGTCGGACATGCGAGAGCCGCCGTAGCGTGCCCACATATGCAAGACCTCTACTCTTTCCTCTTTCCGGATTCACAGGACGTGACGTATCAGCTTCTCTTCAGTTTATTTTTTCCTCCATGGAGATATTTAGGAAAATGCTTTTGCCACTGAAGTATTTCAACATAGAGGTAAAAAGCGTTTCGAAGGCTCTGGTCAGCGATGTATACAAGCTTGCCACAGTCTCTATAATTGTAGTATTATGTCTGATCAATTTGTGCATGCTCCGCAACTAGCGTGACCCCTGAGACTACGTGCGCTCTAGCTTCAGTGACGCTGACCACGCTGTTTTAAAAAAAGCGGACTCGCGGATGGTAAAGAATGAAACGATGTGGATGCTACGAGCGCGTACTCCTCAGAAAAAAGGAAAGCATTCCTTCCGTAAGCAGCGAAAATCACTCTGAGAGCAGCTCGACAACAGAGCCAGAGGGATCACGATCAAAAGCCCTCACCCAATCTAGTCGGGGCATTGTGTGTGCCCCGTAAATATTCTATAACGCCGACAATATTCGCTTGACTTCTTATATGTCACGACAGGGTCCGTGTCTACGTCAAACCACAGAAAATTCCGATTGCACCTGGATACTCGAACAAGCACTCACCATCACTTTAAAACCAAATATCTCTAGTTCTCAAATTTGGTGCAAGGAATCTTTGAACAGAGCGAAACAGCTATAATTAAACAGGCATTACCCGAAAACAGCACGCTTCCGATGTGTAGACAAATAAGCGCTGACTTCACTACAGCCATGTGAAAGCGTCTCTTCCAGCAATTTTTTTCTTAAACCTCGATATTTGGACCCGACAATCAAGGTTAAATATTTTATATCTTACAACTGCCATAGCATATGTCTGCTGCCAAACAAAGAACAATGGAAAAAGTGGCAGGAGTCGCAGTGTCCTTGACATCATAAAGGTCTGACAGATTGATATGACTTAAATGTGGGGTTTAACGTCCCAAAACCACCACATAATTATGAGAGACACTGTAGTGCAAGGCTACAAAAATTTTCACCACTTGGTGTTCTTTAACGTGCACCCAAATCTGAGCACACGTGCCTACAGCACTTTCACCTCCATCGAAAATGCAGCCACCGCAGACGAGATTTGATGCCGCGACCAGCTGGTCCGCAGGCAAGTACCTTAGCTACTAGCCACGTGGCGGGGCCATCATAATAGAGTTTAAGAATACCGTTTGCAAGCGCTGCGGGCGTTGCGGGGGTAGCGGACACCATATTAGTTTTAGAGCGAATTCCATTGGGCGAACAGGAGCAAGTGCAGCGAGCAGCCAGAGCAGCACACGGGAGTAACGGGGACGTGCGCTTTCGTTCCGCGAATGAAACATTCGCGCTGCTCCGGGAGCAGAGAAAAGAGAAAGAGGGCGTGATGTCACGGGTCATGTGAACAAACTTTTCCCGCGCTTGCTTTTCGGAGCATTTCGCGCGCTCTCGTTGTCCGCACGAAGTTATTCCGCGCCAGTTTCGTCAGATACGTGCCGGTGGCTTTGTGTCTGCCTTCCTCATGACGATGAATGATGAAGCCGAGCGGATGTTCATGGCAATGCTAAAGGGGTCAGCTGTACGCGCTACACCAGGTAAGCATTGTATCTCGTAAAAATTAGCTACGAGCGATAACAGCGTCAATTCACGGCTTTGTTTGTGCTCACTACAGTCGTTATCGATGCCTTGGACGCGTGGGAGAGCATTGACGAGAATCCCCACGGTAAGCGCCAATAACTAGCAAGCACAGGCCATAATTCGCAATAATTTTTGCCAGTTTTTTTTAATTTTTTTGTGCTGAATGGCCCATTTCAGGTAGCGGGAGCGTCGCGGTGTGTGAGGAAACAACGGACGAAGACGGAGCACGTAATTGGCGTATGTATGCGTCACGGGGTAGCACTTTGTGCTGTACTGTCGAACTTTCTTCTGCCGTTTATCGTCACTTCTACTGGTTGGTGTTTTGAAATTATTTGCATCCCTGTTTGAGTATACAAAACAAACCTCTTTATGTTTGCGTTCAGCAAGGGCTAATGGCATGCTACATTCTGCGTTAGAACGGTGGTTTGGGCTAGTTGGTGGTGCATGCTGAAATTCAAAACAGCGCGAAAAAACGGGCCAGGGGAAACGACGACACCAGCGCCTTGTGTCGTTGTGTCCCCTGTGCCGTTTTTACGCGCAGTTTCGAATTTCAGTATTGTACATTCATCGCACCCGGAGGCGTTTACTTCGCGAACAGAACACCATAATCATTTCACGTCGCGCAGAATAGGCACCTCAGCAGAGTTTTTACACTCGCACTTATTTTGCACGTGCAGAAACCACCAGTTCATCAACCACTGGCGAGGTGGGTACGGGCCCAGCGCCACAAGGGGAAAGAGGTGGCGGAGGTGAGCTTCTACTGCTGCAGTGCCCCACACATGTGCTTTAAGCAAGCTTGCCTTATTTCTATTTCAGCTCCTGAGTGGACACCATGGGAACTAAACTTCTATTAGACTATTACTATAAATACTTCCCTCAAGTTGGCCCTTTCAAACAGTTTAAGAACAAGAAGATGCTTTTTAAACAGGTTTCCCAGGATCTGGCTGATGTGCTTGGATGCAGCAAAACGCCACAGCAATGTGAAAACCGCGTAAAAACGGTAAGGAGGCAAAAGAGAAAAGCGTGCCACAATAACAACAAGTCCGGTGCTCAACCTTTCCCCTTCCCATTCGACGATGAAATGCGAAAAATTGAAAGCATTGACGACAGCCTCGAGCCCGAAGTCCAAAGGGACTCTTATGGAGCGACGTACAAGGCAACTTCATCAAGTTCCGACTGCTCAGCTGATGTACCCTCAACTTCACCTGAAATCTCCAGTACTCCGGCGAGTGGTTCAGACAGTGGGCAAAGCACAAAAGGGCCAGCAGATACCAAGAAAAGGGAACTTCGCGCTAGTACCAGTCGTATGCAGCAGATGCAATATTTTTTTGACCAAATGCGAGCTATTTGTGCAGAGCAAGCGGCTCGCAGGGAAGAGCTAGAAAAAGAAAAGGAGATGAGGCGCGCCGAGCGGCGAGCTGAGCGCATTCAAGAACGCCAGGAGCGCCGCAAGATGCACGAAGACAAACTTCAGCTCATCCGCGAGGCCCTGGGGTTCAAGCAATAAAGAGGTGCACTTTGGAAAAACATGTTTTCATGACTGTTTATTTCATACTCAACCATAATGTCCCTGAACATTGGCAAAATGAGATGCTGCTTAAGCGTTGCATTTAATGTTTGAGCACGATATGCTTCCATTAAGACAGATTTTGTGGCTGCCTCCTCTTTAGCCCCATCTTAGATTTCAGTCTTTCTCGCTTAACCTCTGCAAGCGCCCGTAAGAGGCTCTCTTCTCTGGATGTTCCGCTGTGGACTCTGGCTCCACTAGGGTTCGGATCATTAGCACCCTGAGAGTTCAGATGCATGCCTGGAACTAGACCATCAGGCGAGTCACCGTTGTCAATGCAGATGTTGTGGAGGACACTACATGCGAGGATAAATTTTGTCATGTTGTCTACTGTCGTGAGGTCCACACGCTGCAGCTGCCGAAACCTACCCTTTAACTCCCCAAACGCATTTTCAATTAGCACTCGGGTAGATGAAAGTTTGGCACTAAATGCCTTGTCAGAGGCATCGAGGCTTCCGTAGTCGCGAATGGGAGTCATTAGGTACTCGCGAGATGGGTACGCTGCGTCCCCAAGAATGTGGTATTTCCCAGCGCAGTGTTGAGGCAGTTTCTTCGAAACGGTTGAAAGCCGGAAGATCCTGGCGTCGTGAATTTTGCTGGGTGCACCTGTGCTGACATCTAGGAACCTCTTCCGGTTGTCGCATATTCCGTGCAGCGTCAAGGATGGGTAGTGGTGCCGATTCACATGCACTGACCGCACTTTACCAGCAGGGCACCTGACCGGAATATAGCTTCCGTCAATGCAGCCAATAGTGTTCGGAAACCCTGAAACCTAAAAGTTTGAAAAAAATGTTAGAACGTTTCACAGAAAGAGCAAAAGGAGCTAACAAAGTAGCAAGTGAAGTCGTGCACTAATTCAAGCTTCAAGCACATCTCATTTTCACATGATTTCCTTGGATGTTGGTTTTGTACTTGTATCTGTTCGTTTTGTGCAGTACTAACGTAAATTCATTGGCATGGTTACGTGCGCAATAAAGCGTGAAATGCATTGACAGTTTTAGCAAAGCGTCATTACGCACAGTGGCCGAGAGCTTGAGCTTGACTTGTTTTCGCAAACTCTACTACGTGCAGGTGTGAAGAACTTGCAATGTAACTGAAAACAATGGCTTTGCGAGCTCTTCAACATCCCCATGCAGCTTACAGCATAAATGATAACTCACTGCTTGTTCCAACCGTACTGTTATACACCGAATTCAAGGGTGTCCTGTATATATTATGTTTACCAGAACTTACATCGCCTTTATGAATAAAAACAACGCTTTGAAGAATCATTCCGATGGAAGCGACTGACATGCTGCTTTGATTAAATCAAAAACATTTTTGCAGTTGAAATTGAAAGGGGGTTTTTCTTACCTGCTTAAAGTCGTTAGAAAGTTTCTTCATGTCATCTGGGAAGGTCACGATGCGGGGGGCAATGTCGAGAAGGAAATTCATGACTCGATACATCATCCTTTGGTGGGTGCTTTCCCCAACTTCAAAACGTCCTGCAACATCCCGTATGCAGGATTTGTCAACCATTTATCAACATGGATTTCGGAAATAATTTTCCGCCTTAACTCAACTGGTCACCCTGTTTCAAGCTCTTGCATTAAACATCGATAGACACGGTAGGACACATAGGCTCTTCTTAGATTTCTGCAAAGCCTTCGATAAAGTTCCCCATAGTAAACTCATTTCCAAACTTAGAACAATAAGTATACCCGAAATATTCGTTTGTTTAATTTCTGCGTATTTAAATAATCGCGAACAGTACGTTGATGTAAGGGGCCAATATTCGGATTGTCTTCCAGTCACATCGGGTGTACCACAGGGCAGTGTGTTAGGCCCTTTGCTTTTGCTATTGTATGTCAATGATATTGTTGAAGTTATTCACCCTAGTGTAGAAATGAGATTGTTTGCAGCCGATTGTGTTTTGTTCAAAGAAATACGTTCCACTAACAATTTCAACGATCTGAGCACTAGTCTTTGCAATATATATGAATGGTACAACAAATGGGGAATGTGTCTCAACGCGAACAAATGTATGTGCCTTCCAGTGACTCGCCAAAAGAATCCACAATCGTATACATACATATTAGGGTCTTCACCACTGCAACAAGTAAACTCCTACAAATACCTTGGTGTGACACTCACTCCCAACTTATCTTGGAATCTCCATATTGATAATGTTTGTTCATCTGCCTTTCATAAACTATGTCTTCTTAAACATAAACTTCAAAGTGCTCCCACGAATGTTAAACTACTTTGTTACACAGCCCTTGTGCGGCCAAAACTAGAGTACGCGAGCATAGTATGGGATCCTTATACAAAACGTAATATACACGCGGTTGAGCGTATTCAAAGAAAAGCTGTTAGATTTATATTCAACAAGTACTCCAAGTTAGATTCACCCTCAGATTTAATGCTAGCCAACAACATTCCCTTACTGCAGATGCGAACACAAAAAGCTAGATTAGAATTCCTTGATCAACTTTTGAACAAAAAATAGCTCTAGACCCATCCCTGTATTAGACACCCCTTAGTAGCCGGTCCACCCGACACCACCACCCAAAGGCCTTGATCCCATATTTTGCTCGCACAGACCTACTGAAGTATTCGTACTTTCCAAGAACCATATGTGAATGGAACTGTCTTACTAATACATGTGATGAATGAACTAACCTACCAAACAAGCTTCTTCACCCTTTATTGTTTAGTTTCACAATTATTTTATTTGTATGTGTATTACCACCCTGCTTGGACCTCGAGTCCGCTGTATTGAATAAATGAATAACGATTACACGTCAGTTTTTCTACAAATTCTAATATTTCTTTTCTTTCTCATTTCTCACATTGTGACTAATTATTCCCACCAAGTCAAAACAAAATAATCTAATTTCCCTAGGCTAGATAATTTTAAGGTATTGATTTTTGTTACCCACCGGCTTCTTGGCCAATCCCCCTTAGTGGGTAAGAGCCACGAAGTGGATCAAGCAAGCAAGGTAGCCAGTGCTGACTTGTGTACTCCCTGGTTGTGAGTAGCCATTTTTGCTGTTTTTCTGAATTCGCTACTTTCACCTGCATATCTAAGCTCACACATTCTGCGCATTACGTACTGGGTAGTTGGCGCCGACTAGACAAATTTTGCTGCATGTCTGGCGCTCGAGCCTCCGATTTCGTGCCGGTCGGCGCCAATGCATGACTAATTTAAGCCTAACGTTCGACCCTCTTGTTAATGTCACCCCGCCGCGGTAGTCCAGTGGTTGAGGTTCCTGGCTGCTGACCCGCAAGTCGCGGAATGGAATCCAGGCTGTAGCGGCTGCGTTTTCGATGGAAGCAAAAATGCTGTAGGCCCGTGTGCTCAGATTTAGCACGTCTTATAACAATGATGTGTTTCTGGGACGTTAAATGCCACATATTTTGTTAAGGCCGAACCACACGTACAGGCGAGAGCATAAGTGTGGAGGCCACGGGAACGCGTGACCCAAGGCATCGACGTGCTGTCTAGCGATAAGACGCCTGCTGCAATGCGCATGAGCGTCTCGTCGTATCAGTTGGTTTTCATGTCACTCTCTCCGACGTGCTCGTATCCAAAATGACAACTGGGAGGCGTAGTCTTTGCTCCATCAAGTCTGTGCCGTTTTTTTTTCTTTCGTAGCGGCTTCGATGGCGCCGGTTCCACTGCCGGACTCTCGTCATTATCTATGTCAGTTAATTTGCATATAAGCGTAGCCATCCAGAAAACCTAATAAAGCCAAAGACAGAAATTAGGTTTTCTCAGCTCAGCTTGCCTTTGTTGCGTTTGGCAAACTTGAACCTAAATAAGCCTAGTTATGATGAAAACAGCGCCAATAAGTATGAAGACAAAATAAATTCATTACAAGGTAATCAGGTTATCCTTTGCCTAATGAGACGAGACTCTCTCATTAGTTTTTTTGTTCCTGCCTTTGCTTGGATTATCTAAGCTCATACATATTCAAGTTCGATTGCTTTGATTGTGTTCTACAAGAAATGGATTAACTAACCTAATTATATTGAGACTAGTTTAATGATGCCAAGATCAACCATGCTTAATGAGATTTTTCTATACTTACTTTGTTGCTCCTTGAGTATCTCAGTTATGCATAACTATTACACTTATGTCACTTTAAACTCCCATATTTTTGTAGTTGAGCGAATATCAAACACATTTATCAGCCACAACTAGTATGCATCCTAACACTAATTACCCCTGTGTCAGTCAGGGGTTATTAGTACCTTTCAGGGTTTGGCGCCTCAAGGATCTTGGTCAAGTTGACTTGAATTATTTGGCTGCGATAAGCTTTGCCTAATTTGGGCTAATTTTGTTCAGCAGAAATAAATTATAGCATAATCGATTATGCTGAATGAAATCGGACTGTACTTGGACTATTCTCTAGTCATCTGGGTGCATTGAAGCTTTTCTACGCCTAAGATAAGACACCTTGCCGGGCTTGTTAGTTGGGTTTCCTCATTTATAACGGGATAGCGCACCACGACAAGGACACAAAAAGAGAGATGCATACACACACAGTGCTAACTTGCAACTAATGTTTTATTTGCGATCACATATGCTATTTATACAGTAACCATTTACCGTTCGAACCTTCAACATATGTTAAAATACAACACCCCTCATGCACGCATCATCATCGATTGCGATAATCTGCACTCACCAACGTCAAAGTGAAGATTATAGATATTGCGGTGAAGTCCTTTACACGCCTTTATTCGGCCTAGAAGACGTGGCTAAAAACAGTCACCTCCGAGGCACAGAACCGACTCAAGAACCTTATCCACTAACGATAAAGATGAAGAATACTAGGTGATGGTTTTGTACAGGTGAAGAAGAAGCGCGCTTTAAATGCCCGCACTAATTCCCCACACATAAGAACGGCCATCCTAGCCGCAACTTAAAAATTCAGAGAATGCTTTGCGAAAGGCTTCGTACGCGAGACATGCACTATCTCGGTACCACGACAGCACCAGTCACTAGGAGCAATCACAGGTTCAACGCGATATTTAACGGGTGAGGCCTCCTCTAAGACTGTGTATGAGCCGCGGAACCGAAACTGCAATTTGCCGCACAAACCAGAAGTGCGAACTGTTGTCCGGAGTAGATCCTTGTCGCTGGGGTGGAAGGTCACAGTGGCGTGAGATGCGTCGTGCGATTTTTACGGGCTTGTTGTCTCTCCTCAGTGTTGAGTCTGGTGAGCTGGTGACAGTGATGAAGGCGTTACACTTATTCTTCATAGGAAGATGCAGATGGTGTAACCGGGGCTGTCAAGAACGAGATGTCTAGAAAGGAAGATGGCAGTCGGCCATAGACAAGGTATAATGGCAAGTAGCCAATTGTGCGTTGTACGCGGTATTATAAGCGAACGATACGAACGGCAAAATCGTACGCCAATTGGTTTGGTATGGCTCAATGTACATGGCTTTATGTCGAACAGTGTGTGACCAAAGCGCTCAGTGAGCGCGTTGGTGTGGGGTTGATAGCTGGAGGTTGTCTTGTGGCTGGTGCTGGAGGCTTTTAGCAATTCTTTCACAATTTTCGAAAGGAAAGCTTCGCAAGGAAGCTTGCGAAAGGAAAGGACTTCGTCGCAAGGAGTGGAGGTTGCTTCTCGATTCCCCGTTCCTGCTAGCCCGCTTTACCTCCTTGAGCTCCGCTAAGGTCCCCGTTCGGGCTACGTGTCAACCAGCATGCCACAGGACGAACCCTCAGGCGCTTCTACCTTTACCCCTGCGTTGAAGACTGCCGCAACCTCTCACTCTTGAATCGTCAGTGGACCCCCTCATGAGCCCACTTTATTTGCTGGACTACTAAGTGAAAACGTGGACGCTTGGCTACACCAACATGACATAGTGACTGCAGTGAACCACTGGGACAATCCTCACAAGCTCCACCACGTCTGCTTCTATCTTACTAGACTGGCGAAGACTTGGTTTTTTAACCACCAGATCGCCTTTCTTAACTGGAAGATCTTCAAAGAACATCTGCGCCAAGACTTTGCTGCTCCTGCAGTTCGAGCCAGTCTGGCGAAGAGAACACTTGATGGTCGGGAACAACTAGGCGAGTCTTATACCTCGTATACTGAGGATGTTCTCTCTCTCTGTAGATGCGTCGCCGCCTTTTTGATCGAGACAGACAAAGTGCGCCATCTACTCAAAGGCATAAGGCCCGTTGCCTTCAATGCTTTGGTTGTAAAGGACCCAAGTACTATTGCTCACATTGTAGCTATGTGCCAGGGCCTGAACAAGCTTGAATCCGCACGACTGCAGCTCTTGCAGCCATCCCTGACAACTCTACTGCCAACTCCTCGTTACGATTCATGATCCGCGCCATGATACGAGAGGAACTGCCGGCGCTCGGTTTTCCAGCGCACCAGTTTCCTTCTGACACCCCCAGTACAAACTTACTGGACGTCGTCAAGGAG